TTAATCAAAATAATTGTGATGATGCAAGGGATTAAGCCGACAGGAATATGAACTGCCCTTGTTCATCCAGGTGATACTACAGGAGGTGCAATGCAGATACATGTAGAGAACAAAGCCCCGTCCTTTGAATTTACAGTCTGAATAGAAAATGCTTTGTGAGACCAGTGTATTTCTGTCTAAAATATATGGTTTAATTTAGGAGTGCCTGGGTGACACTAGCGGCCTGTGATATATAAGTGGTCAGGTTAAATGACCTTTTATGTACCTTCTTGCCTGAAGCTCGGAGCAACAGCAAGTGGAGCAGTTTGAATGGGCCCCATTTATTATTCTTTTAATTGCCTGCTAATATTTCTTTCAGTAGGAAAGACTAATAGACCCCTTCTGTCTCCAAATGTCTTCCAAACTACCCAAAATTGCAGTTCAGCCAAAACAAACCAGGAGTCTTCGGTTCTCTGGAAATGCAAAACCAGACGGACAGGGATCCAGGAGATTCCTGTTTCTCATATAGCTCTGCAATAGACCTCAGGCAAGTAAGCTAAACTGTCTGTGCCTTGATCCCCCACCCATGAAATGGTGTAATCCTTTCTTTATCCCACACTTTATTAATCTTGCCTAGTCAGGCTGTTCTCAGCTTATGGGGTATGTCCAGCATCACAGGACCATGACCTGGGCCTGGAGATAACACAGGACTGCATTAGGTTGAGGAATATTCTTTTTACTAGTAAAAATCAAAACCAAAGCAGAGTAGAACAAACAAAAAAGGACAAAGATCGCATTTTCTTACGGAACCACTGTCTATCCGAATGTGGAGAAAATAGCAAGTTTCCTTTAAAAGGACTTGCAATTGAATTCACACTCTGTCAGGTGTAAATTACAGCCTGTAGCTCATCTTGTTCTATCTACAGCTCCTTTCTTAGTCATGCATAGCAGCAGCGTACAAAAATATTTCCTGCATGTGATCAAGCGAGTATGGGCACATAAGATGCAAATAAAACATGAGACTTTAAAAAAATTGTTTACTGGTATCTTAAAAGAAAACTTGAAGTTTGTAATCATGCCATTTTTTGGTCAGATAACTGATTTACTTGGGAACACAATTGTGCTTGGGAACACAATTTAAATAAATCTATAAAATATTTTCTTTAGGAAGTTACAGGGAACTGAGATAGCTAAAAATAAATGACAGAAAAAAAAAAATCCCAGGAACACGATTCCACTGTGCAGACACAGATATAGTAGATCACTGAAATTAAGTCCTGACCATAATAGAGCTGCACAGTGGAATAGCATGGGAGAGATGCTTTTGATCTTTTCTTTCCCAGTGTTCTACACAAGACCTTCTGATTGCATATGCTTTATGACATCTAATAGATTACCTTAGGCAAATGTCTATATGCCATACTAAACACTGCAGAAACCCAGTTTCATCTATGCTCATCTCTGAAACAGTGAACTCCTCCCCCAAGTCCCATGAGTTGGTGACACTGCAAAGTGCATCACTGGCATACAGTGAAGCATCACCAACTTCAGGAGGAGTCACCAGATGGAGTTGCAGCACTTTGGTGTGTTAGTCCATATTTCAGGGTACAAACAAGATTCCAGCCTTGGTAGAAATTCAATGCTGTTAATCTTCTTTAGGACAACTGTGGCTAGGGGCAAAGGACAAGCATATTCAGTTTAATTACACAGCCAGAAACGCCTGAGCTAGGAAGTTCTCTTTTAAGTTGGCAATTTCCTTTTATTCAGGAACAATTTAAAAAGTCTTAATTATTAAGCTATCTATATAAAACTATACCTCAGCTTTACTACTGATTAGCTCTCCAAATGCTTATCAGTTGGTGAAGACTTGATATCTGCCATAGCTCAGAGGAGAAGCAATAATTCTCTAGATGATAATCAAGCCCCTTTGTTGGATACTCAAGTTAAGTATTTGTTTGTTTGAATAGTGTATGAATAAAAGTTTCATGTGGTTTCCCACTGAATGAAAAGAGATGCCATACCTGCTACAAATGGTTACAGATCCTCTGAAGAACCTTAGCTTCCTAGTAATCAACATCTGGGACAGCAAATTCACCCTAATTGGGGTCCATGTTTCTAAGGGGGTTTTAATGGTGGAAAGAGTCATGCTCCATCTCATCTCAGTGGTACTAAGATTCACGTCTGCAGATCCATCACTGAGAATGGCCTGGCCTCTATTATCATTGATTGAAGCATATTAAGTGACTTGGCAGAAAAAAAAAAATACCCAAATTTGAAATGTCAAGAGACAGATCCAGCTAGTTTCGCATCCTGTTGTTATAATATACCTTAATTACAGTTAATTAGGAAATACTGTTCCTGGTGGAAGAGCATCTGACACAGTTTTTGTGGGTGATTAAACATAGAACAGAATCTGATGCATTTGTTGAATGCAGGATCTATTTATTATCACTGTACAACTCAGTGTAGAGTATCATTCCTATTACATAAGAAAACAAAAGAAAGTCACAGGGCAAAAATATTTGCCTTGCATCGTGATGCTTCAATATTCCCTGCTGTCTTCCTTAATTTTCTGCTGCTGGCACCTTAGGACTTTAGAGCATGATACAGCTCCCACTGAAGTTAATCAGAGGCTTCTCACTTGGCTTCAGCTCAGCCACATCAGATCCTAAATGAACAGAAACAGAGGAAAAGGCTGAGGGAAAACAAGTGCTACAGGGATTGACCTCTGTGCAGTTGGACACAGTGTCAATGAGGGCTTCGATACCATTTCTGAAAGAGTAATCTGTGATTTACTGGAGGAGTGCTATTAGCCGGAATCCTTTCCTCATACAGTATAAAACATAAAAAATGGAAACCCAGACCAAAGCTATGAGCTCAGCTTCTGCTGGTGTCAATAAGGTTTGCTCACACTCATTGATCTGTGGCTGTATATGACCCTGAAATATGTTTTGCTGGGCTGCCTGAGACCATTGCTCATGCTTAGAATAGAAATGGCAGGATTGGTTTTATCACTAAGAAAAAAGCAGTGCATGTCTTCTGCCCAAAAAGTAACCAAATTACAATTTGTGAAGTAATCTTTTTTCTCAGTTAGGAAAAGGGGGTGGGTGGGGAGGCATTATTGGCTAGATTGCTTGTACTAGGAAAAGCCTTGTTTTTCACAAACTCTGCACACTGTTTTCCTAAGCACTCATTTACTCTGAACTGCAACAACTGTGATAAATCATTTGCTATTTACTCTTTAGTGCAACTATATGCTTTGGGCAAAGGTTTTTTTTATTATTATTATTTATTTATTTTAAAAAGCAATACCACTTTTTTTTTTTAACGCATTTTTTCCATCCCCAGTGATGGATTTTATCTTTGATATGTGATCCAGCTATTTAACTACCTCTTACCACTTCTCCCATGAATTGTTTATACAGCAACTTGGCAGCGTAATTTGCATATCACAGGAAAGATCCCATTACATGTTCCCAGAGGTGTGGTTTCACCAGCTTTATCGCTTTCTGCCACCTATGCATATCCCTGGAGCAGAGTGTCTGGTTAATCCAGAAAGGCACTTCTTGGCTGCCAATAGTAATTAAACATTAATGGTGCGGTTACAAAATTTTCAGTCACTCAAAACTTATCTCCTCATTGTCTTCAACAAATATAATACCTAAAAACGATATTTATCTTTTCATAAAAATTCTCATGCCCCAGGAAGATCACAGAGTGTTACATGTACTGTATCCTGCTCAGCTGTTGCAGACTCGGCTTAAAATAATTAGACATGGATCAAATGCACAAAGAAAGAACCGTTAAAAAGAAGGGGAACAGAATAACTCAATGTACCACAGAGAAGCTGGAGAAGATTTGGGGCTGGACACAGTATTTGCTCTCCAGACTCTTTATCTAGTGACAATGGGGATAAGGGGACAATGGCTGTAACTGCAGGTTTCTTGATGATGAAAAGCCCATGTTTGGGTGTATTCCACATTATTCTTCACCCATTGTATGAAAGATAATAAAATGACAGCAGCATAACTTTCACTGAGAAGAACACTTCAAGAGCACTATAGCAACATCAAAGCATACAACCACTGGGAATCAGGAGACAGAAATTAAAGGGAAGCCAGATCGACACTGAACACCAACATATTTCCTTGCACAAAGCATTGCTGTCTCCAGATGTTTTCCCAATAAGCAAACAGTCCTGTGCCTTCAAATAGAGTTGTCCAACATATAGTGGAAGGAACAAACATTGTAGGTACCAAATCTTTCTAACTTGATTGTCCGTGTGCAAATCCACCTTGCAGTAAAAGCACATACGAAATTTCAGAAATGCAGACTCAGTTTGGGTGAAATTTGGAGCCCGAGATCTAGAGCAGACTTATTAACAAAAACAGCCTTCTCAGAAAGTACCCCAGGCAACGACAGTAACACCCCTCGGTGGCAGACACCGCAATAGCCACCCAACACCTTTCACTCTAAGCAGTATGACAAACCCACAAAATCCCTAGTATCACAGAAGGCTGGAAGAAAGAGAAGGCATTGACTCACTGACAAAACTAAGTGGCTATTGAGTCAGCGGCCTTTGAGCCACGAAGTCAACCTCAGTGAACAGTGACTGAAACTTGTTATTCTCCCATAGCCCAAGAGTGCGTTATATAGTGTGATAGCTGGCAGTCACAGTGACAGAGCAAAAGGCAGATTAAGCACAGCTGTCCCCTCGAGTCCAGGGATAGCCTGGTGGGCAAGTAGGAAAACCTGAGCTGTTCCTGCCTGTTTAAAAGACAGCATTTAGTTTTTGAGCCTGTCAGCATGATCCTTTGTGAACGCATTGTGTTTTCCTGACATGCCACCCTGACATTTTGGTTTAGTAGTACAAAAAAAACCCAAACAAAACACAAGCAGTAAGGTTATAAAATCAAACATTATGTTTTCTGCATGTTAAAAGTATTGCTTCCACAGAGACCTGGAAGCTCAAACTGCTGCAGCGCTGTATCAGTACATGAAAACCAAAAAATGGAACTGACCTGGGTTTCACGGTTCAAGCGTGCTGTGGCAGGGATCCCGGCACTACTTCCAAATTCAAAGCTCAAATAAACACAGTTGTAGTTTCTTGAAGTGGATGCTTTTAATGTAATCTGAACAGGGTGAGAGAAAGGGCATACTCTTGAAGCCTGTATTTCTTAGGTAGAAGTAATCCTGCCTGGAGAAGCCTGTCTTGTGACTGTCTGCTATTAAGACTGTACAGGAGAGAGGGAATGTCTTTGAGTTCACATACTTAATGCTCAGTGGTGTGTCTGCGGAGTGGCAGGAAATAAACAACAGCAAGGAGGGGTTAACCAGAGACCTGCTGGCTAAAATCTATACACCTGGAAACAGAAGGGAGAGAGGTGTGCGGTCAGGTAGAGTTGAACTGTTTCTAAGAGGGGGATCAGCCACAGAGCTATCAGGCACAAAGACACCTATCGCTCAGCCACAGAGCTATCAGGCACAAAGACACTTATCGCTAACTGTACCTGCTTTCCATCATGTCCCTAAACCCAAAAGAGCAGTTGTGCATGTCATGCCAGTCTTCCTGAATGGATCTAGGACATTCTCCTAGTCCCTAGAAAGAGCACCACTGGAAAGCATCTGTACGGTACGTAGAAAGAGAGGACAGAGAAATACGTGGATCTTCATCAGAATATCTACAACTCCTTAATTGCACCCCAAGATGTATTCTCCATCTTATTTCCCAAGACAGCTGTTTGCCTTCTGGAGAAATGCCACCATTCTGCCACAATTGCATTAGAGAATCTCTATGCAGAAGGTCAGATGCAAGCAAAAATGTCTCTGAGCCTGATCTGAGATGGCAGAAAATCCCTTTACTTGGAGCTTGTCTACCAAAATTACACCACCTTTCTAAGAGATTTCCCCTTTTTTCACAATTGACATATCAGGCAGGAAAGAGAAGTGCTTGCTGAAGACATCCGCAGTGGATGCAGACACTAGTCTGCAGCTGGGCATGGAGCACAGCACAAGTCAGAAAGTCCAGACATGGGGAGGGCTTGAGAGGAAAAGGCAGAACAGCTGCCCATTATGCTTGGAAATGTGCAGAGCAAGAATGAGCAAAGCAGTGCTTTAGAAGAGCTTGTTCAGCTGCAAGTTGTAAAGGATACAGAAGACATTTTCCAGAAGATCTGTCACAAGCACTGACATTGGCAGAAATCAGATATGTTTGGCATTTTGTTATCAATCTTCCCCGAACTCTTCTCAGAGAAAGAACTGGGGTACTGGCCGCCCTCCAAAAAAAAAAAAAAGCCCAACAATTCTGTAACAGAATTACTGGACAATGGCATTGAGGAAACATTCATCGTAATGGAGAAACATACTGTAAAGCATAATGTAGTACTGTGGTTGCATACATTTTTTGCATACAGAGTGTTTACAGATGCTAATCCGGGCAGTTTCATATCTCTAGGTATTTACTCTGTGCTTGTAAAATGAAATGGCATTTTTCATTCCATCTTGACTGGAAGAGAGAATACATTTAGGTTATAAATTGTTTAGAATTACTTGTTAATGCTATCAGCTTTTCTGTATCTGCTTGTAGGAGGGACAGGAGAGAGATGGATAATGCTTTACTGTAAAGTCATAGAGGAGAAAACCAGAAAGCTTTGTTTTTGACATGTTTAAACTGTTCAAATGACAGGAATCGGTTGCCTTGGAAGCAGATCTGCAGTTGAATGAAACCTTTCACCTGTCCAACATATGAAATATTTATTATCTGAGGGTTACTAGAGATTAAATAAATCCAGACATAAAATGCAGAAAGCAGACCCTGGCTCATCACCTCCATGAATTTCACAGGTCCTCTGGCAGCCAGATTAGATTTTGCTACAGAGAGAGGGAAGTGGGCTGAATTGTGCTATTGGATATAAGGAGAAATTAAACAAGAAGAAAGCAACATCTTAACTTTATATTTGATTTAACCTGGTTGGTGCTGCTGATGCAAAACGCCAAAGCTCCTCCTATGCTCTGCTTGGTAAAGCTGGAAAATGTTTTCGCTTCCAGTTAGAGAGAAGAGCCTACTCTCTTTAGGTAATTATTTTTCCAAGAAATTATTCTTGACCATTTGTTTCCCCATAAAAACTGCCCAGTGTTTTTGCCTTGTAGAAGTTGGTAGTGTGGATTTTTTTCACCTTTCTCTTTTGTGTGGGTTGGAATTAATTTATTATAGGGCTGAAACCTGGCAGAGATCCAGACACAATGCTCTGAAAAATGTTCATACTAAAATTCAATGATGGGATTCCTTGTTTATTTTATCTCAGAGCCTCCCTGAGAATTCAGTCCTGCAAAATGGAGCACAGTTGATGCACAAGTGGGCATACAATCCAGTTCGCTTTATTTTTCAGGGAAAAGACTCTGTTTCTGCAGACACAACCCTGAGTATGAACAAAAGCCTGAACCATTATTTAAGAAAGTGGTATTTTTGTATAGCTGTTTTCAGAGTGAATCACACTCTGAAAGAACCTTGACATTTTTGCCCCTTATCACATTCATTTTTTTCTCAGAAAAACTGGACTTCCGAGGCTTTTGGCATCCATACTGTTGGGTAACAGTTTTAACATCTGCATTCAACAGATGTTGAAATTGTCTGATCAAGCTAAGAGGTAAAAGTGAAGATTAAAGTCTGTTGTCATCATATGCTATACTGTACCACAATAAAGTATAATATTTCTGCGAAGTCTGTGTCTGTGTGTGAAGTGACTGAAAAGTTGTAGGGAGTGAACACACAACACCAAAATATGATGTCTCCTTTCAATTCATGCTTCCTTATCACAACCCGCTTGGCAACTGCATGAAGATTTTAGCAATAAATATTGGGCTCAGATAACATCATTTTGAGTCAGGACTGCAAGCTCTTGGGTGCTGCACATAATGGATCCTACCCTAACAGTTGAGATGGAAGTGAGGTATGAACAAGACGGGGAGGCAAGGAGGGGAGGAAGAAGGAAAAAGAAGAAGCAAGGCAAGAAGCAATACAGTATCTGAATGTTGCTATTGTACAAACTGCTTCACTATGGTTCGAAACTGATGAATACATTGCTGGTAAATGGGGATTCCTGATTTCACAGTGGCAGGTAACAGTTACCTCTAGCTTCTTTCACAACACAACAGACCTTAAAATATTAACTGGTCCTCTGTTCCAGCTATGCTGTTCTGGCACTAGTCCTCTGCAGCCCTGTGCCTTAATAGAGTGCACTTCTGATCCCATGCAGGAGCACTTCCCCATCCTTAGCACGTAAAACTTAGCTATCTGCAGAGGAGAGCAGGCTTTTTCTAGACTCTGCCTTCATTTTTATTGCTTCTGGGCAAATTACTTCCCTCACGTCTATTACAGTCCCTTCTCCCTCTCACACTGTACCATGCTTAAGCTTTCCCAAGTTTGCCAGAGAGAGGTTACTAGGCTCCAAGTGCATCAAAAAGCACAGAGCGTGCTTTCTTTCCTGCCTTTCCATATGCCTTGAATGCCCCCCTCCTTTCCCATCGTGGTACATCAAGTACCTTCCCTTTCTTTTAGAAAGCTGAGAATCCATCTGTTCGGCAAAGCATTCCATCTGCAACAGCGAGTCCAGTGATGTGCTGCCAGTATTTCAACAAAAGGCTCCTCTAAACCCATGCCCCTGAGCCAGTAACACAGCCCACGTCCCCAGGGCGGGGATGCTCACAGACAGGAGGCGTGTGGGACTGGCGGACCCTATTCATTTGGTTCTCCCATTTCAACCAAATGCTTTCCCATATCCAAGGAAAGAGGAAGCAGCATTTGCAAAATGCATTTCTTTTGTCTCCTACCAAAAATGTTCACACCTAGGTCCTGGGAAGAAAATAAAAAAACTCACTTTGTTGAGAAAGTTGCAAAGTGTGCACCTGGAAAAACTATAAAGGATGAAGATGGGAAGGAGGGATTGGAATCCCTTTCAGGGACTGCAGAGGACTGTATCTGTGTCAAGTAAATTAGGAAAATGGGTCCGGTTACAAAGAAGGAAATCATGCCAAATATTCCTTTCAGCAAGATGCTGGTAAAGGGCTGAGCTTTGCAAACACGACTGGTAATTTTGAGGACACGGGTGAGGGAAGAGGGCACAGCAGTTAAGGCAGACAGTTTTCCAGAAGGCAAGTGTACAACACTTTTGCCTTTCATACTTTTGTATCAGGTCTGAATACATATTGTAGAGGATATAAATACATGCATGTATTATGCATATATCTAGACAGGTATGTATGTATATGTGTATTAGTTGCTTTTACAAACTTTGGCTGCTGAATTTGCTTCATAGGCTATACTGTCTTGGGCATTTTAAAAGTCCAAGCTTGACAGTTTTCCGTATGTGACTTATACAGGAGTTGATACATGCAGCCAGGATGCTTTGACTGCAGGTACTTGCATCACCCACTTTTTCTGTTGTTGTTTATCAGCTGCACAGCATTAGGTTTATGACAAGTTGCAATCATATCTAAGTGGCCAGCTGCTAAATTACATTCAACTCCCGAAGATTTTAAAGGTGACAAAGTAATATACTATTTTTTTTTAATTATTGTTTTAAATCAGCAATTTCTTAAAGTATTAGAGGTTCTCCTTAAAAAACAGGAGAACTCTGCATTGGAACACAATAACTTATACCACTACAACTCTCTTATCTTGATGTGCTTTTTAAATTGTACATAAGGAAAATAAAAAAAAACCTTTGGATTCAACAATTCAGTATATCCTTCAGCAGATGAGTTTTGTTGGTTTTGAAGAATAAAGGACACGATGTTAGCATCAGTGGTTGCCTTGATAGCTTGATACCCTTAGTCTATAATACATGTGCAAATGAGCTCACTAAATAATCTATATTTACACATCAGGAAGCAATTTTAAAAATATTGTCTGGTTTTGTCTACTTTGGCTGCCACACAGATAGCAAAGTCTCTTACCTAAAAATGCAGGCAGTGCTAATGTGTCTGTCCTGTAATGACTTCTTTCAGAGAGACATACCGATCCTTATCTAGCAAAGCATAGCAACACATTTTGGAGCTCACCCATCTATAGCAAAACACTGTAGCGCATGTTTATGTTTAAAGCCTTTGTTGAAGAGGCAGAGATTAAGCATGTGCTCAGT